CAAGATCTTATAATTCCCTCATTAGTGGTCTATATAATCAATGTGAAACTCGTAACAAATTTGAAGAAAACATATAAAAAGAGCTCTAATGCTAAGAAATCTTAGGAGATCATGCTATAATTAGAAATGACAAAACAGGTCGACTCGTTCCAACCCGTCAAAAACGGGTTGGCTTGCCCCGCCCCGCCCCACCCCACCGTCAACCCGCTAAAAATGAGTTGGCCCGCCCCGCCTCTTGAATATGGGTTAAAAAATCCAACCCACTCCATTTTATAATGAGTTGGCGGGTCAACCTGTTTAAAAATAAAAAATAAAAATAAATTAAATTTTATTAAATTTTATAATATTACTTATTTTTATTTCATATTCTCAGTTTTTTTTTTCTAATCTTAAGCCTAGTTATAAGCTAATATTCAGTTAGGAACTTATTTTTTCCTTCATATATGGATAACTTTTGTCATAAATAAATTTTTTTCTGTTTTATTTTTGTAGATGAGTACTAAGATAAAAAAAAAAGTTATATCACAAAAGTTCAATGACAAATAAAATACTACCTAATAGTAAAAAATACTGCCCCGACTCGCCACCAACCTGTTTTGACTCACAACTAAGCGGGGCAGTTGAGACGGGTTGATGGGTTGGGATGTATAACCCAACCCGTCCAGTTCTAACGTATTGGCGGGTAGACTCGTCAGATTCAACCCATATTGCATACACAAGAAATTACTGTGCGTTTAGGGAGAGAGGCAGTGGCGAAGCTAGGATTGAAGGGTAGGGTGACGAAAATTAATTTTTTGTCTTGCATAATATCAGTGTTTTCTCTACCTATTGACCTCATACCTTCATAGAACTCATTTAGGTAATTTTTTTACCAAAATATTAACATTTAACAACATTTCAAATAATGAAAAAATGTATTGTTAGCCGAGTTCAATAGACATAAAAAGTAGTTTAAAGCAATAATCAAAAAAAGAAGAAGAAGAGGAGAGTGATTTCATTCAACGTTATCATTAACTAAAATAGTGCTTTTAACTACAATTTTTTTTTTAAAAAATAAAAGACTGCAACTAAGTTGCCTAAAAAGTGAATCTTTTAAGTTAGAATAAATCCATTTTCTCTGTACGAAAACCACTATACGAAGAGAAACACAATCATGCAAATGAATAGAGAATTAAAACGTGGCAAAAAAGCCAAAACTTTCATTAACCAAAATATAGCAAATAAAAATAAAAAATAAAATGCAAAAAAGGGTACACATAGCACACACATTAGATGGAGTGAAAGTAGATTTCAATTTGGATATCAAATTAGAACTTTCAAAAGAAGCACATTTAACAATAACAACAATATGCGTTTAGCCTTCAACTGCATCAATTTTTTTTTGGAAAGGGAGGCGGCCGAACATGCTAGCTTTTTTTTTTGGCATGTTAGTGGTATAAACACAAATTGAGACTTCAATAACATTATTAGATATTCGACCCAAATACATGTCCATAAATATCTTGGACATGTCCATAAATACATGTCCATACATAATTAGTCTGGCCCAAATTCTAACCTTCCTCCTTTTTTTTTATAGTTCCTTTTTCTTCTTTTTATTTATATTGTGATTGCGACAAAACATACTTAAATTGCGTTTAAGTTATGAGTTTTATTAATCTTATGTTTAGGAGATAAGTTATCTCATATTATAGAGATAAATTTGTGAGCTCCACCACCTGGAGAAAAAAAGAAAAAAGAAAAAAAAAATGTGACACAATTATCGAAGAATGTGTAGGAGATAAAGTTATCACATGTAGCATAAGAGTAGTTTTTCCCTTTAAGTTATTTAGTAAGTGTGGCAATATATGAACCAACCCGATCATACGATTGGAACACGATATCAACTTTTTGTGTCCGGATCGGCGTAATCTTTTTTTTTTTTTGGAGTTACCCAACCCTAATTATCTCTTTGAGACGAGTTGGCTCCCTCCGGTATCCCCACGAGCTTCGACTCTTTGAGCCGGCTATGGGACTAATCCGGAGTGCGGGGGAACAGTGATGGCTAAAGGTTCAGCCCCCTCCCCAAGAATGCATTCAGCGGGAATCGAACACATATCCAACTCCACTAACTCAGCGCCAAGTTATCAACTGAGCTGCACCCATATAATTACATATTTAATCTCGTATTGTTTATCAAAAATCTCGTATTTATTTATTAGTTTAATATTGCTCATGTAATTTTTATTATAAGTAGGTCGAATTGTGTCAACCTATTTAATAAACTTATTATAGTAGTGTTTAGAACACACAACCATTATTCATTAGGTTGACAGATAATTCATATCGTTTTATAAACTGCATAATAAACAAATCTTGTTAATATCGAAAGTTTTTATACAAACATCTATTTGTATAGTGTTTGGTAAGTTAAAAAACAGTATTAATCTTCAATGTTAAATATCGAAGACTACATACTCATCTTTAATTTCTAAATATAAAAAAGAAAATAATATCAAAATTATTTTTCTGCGCACGAACCATAAGATTATAATTAGAATAGTTTTAAATTTAAAAAGAATTAATTTATTATTTATGGTTGAAAGATAATTTGGCATTAAATTTTATAATTAATTAAGAAATTCAATATCAACAAGTAGGACCCACTATTATAAAAGAATTAAAATAGATATTTACTTGTCATAAAAAATTATGAAATTTATGGAGAAAGATATTGTAACAATCAATTAGTGTTACTACCAATGTTATTACCAATCAATTTCACTGTTAGATCGATTATGTTATCCAACGATTATATTTATTTCTATCTTTGTATGGTTATGATTCCCCATATTTAATACTTTATATTTATTTTCGCATTTTTATTATTATGATTTTCCATATTTAATACTTTCACATTTAATATGGAAAATCATAACTATACAAAGATGGAAATAAATATAACTGTTAGATCAACATAATCGATCTAACAGTGAAATTAATTGGTAATAACATTAATAATAATACTAATTGATTGTTATAATATCTTACCCCAAATATTTATTGTTATAGTTTATTCGCCTACCTTCTTGAACTATATCTCCATCCTCGTTGCCCACGTGCACAAAATCAATACCGTCTATGTATATTAAGGGAATACTGAAAACAAAATAATGTATATGGAGACATATATTACTCTGGGAGTAAAATATTAACACATTTAAAATTAAGGGAAAAGTTTATCAATGTCCTTGTGGAGTCAATCTGTCCCTTCAACCAAACAGAATAAGATGAATTCATTTTTTGATAGGTTAATTATGAAGCTAGGTGGATTGGTATAAAATATATTCGAGTTGGCTGGCCAACTCGTCCAGCCAGTCAAACGGAATGAAGTAGGCTGAATTTTTCAATCCACCTTTAAGGGAACGTTTGGTATGCGGAATTCTTTGAAGAATTTCGTGAAACTAAATTTTTTTAAATTTTAAATTTACGGATATTATCATAAAGTGAATGTAAAAATCATATTTTTAAAAATTAAGATTCTTGACAAAAAAAAAAAAATTCTCCTGTACCAAATATTCCCTAAAAGCAAAATAAGAGAGACTTAGCGAATTGATATTGATAACGGAGTTTTGTCATCTCTATTTGTCAAGCACAAGCAATGCCACAAAAAGTGTTATGATTAATGTAGCGGCCCAATATCCAAGTAACCGGTCCACACGCACGAGGAAGAGCCCACCATATCTCAAGGGCTACGTTCGCTAGTCTTGGGGCTACAGAGACAGAACCCAACAGCATTAGGATTATTATTAGATAATTATTTAAATTCAAGTTGTTATCAAATAAAGCTATTAGTTGGCTAATTGATAGGATATCTCCTAAACTTAGGATTAGTTGTTATTTGCATTCTGTTATTTCAATTACTGATAGGATTAGTTGTTATTTGCTTCTGTTATTTGAATTACAGATAGAGACTAGGATCTCTATAAAAACGTCAAACACAAGGATGAAAGTAGAGAGTGATTTGACAAAATTTCTTCTTCCTTCCCTTTTCCAATTTTCCCTTCCTCTAATCTTCTCTATTCCCTTTTTCCTTTCTCCTTCCAACAATTAATGAGAACGGCATGCGACGCGAAGGCGTTTACTGAAAATACGGATCCATACGGTGCGGGAGGTCATGAGACCAATTAATATGGGCTGGTGAAAAACAAGGGTGGTTGTTGATGGTTGTGGACCTGTGGTTGTTGAAATATTAAACGTTCTCAGGTGCTCGTATGATTTTATCAATTTTAGCCTGCTTTATTGCATAATTTTTTTTTCTGTTTTAAAATAAATATATTTAATATTTTATACAAAAATTAAATATTTATTAAATATTTAAATATAAATTCATTTCATTATATTTATTTTAAAATGAACGAAATTTAGTATTTTTTGAATCTAATATTTTAAGAATGGAAAAAGTGTTTCTCATTTTAATTTATGTTATTTTTTCCTAATTTTTTAAAAACGAAAAAAAATACCAAAAACACATCAAAACAACATAATTTCATTAAAATGACACAAAATTGTGTCATTTAAAATAAAAAACACTTAACTCTTTAAGAATTGATCTGGTTTATAAATAAAAAAACTTCTTCATATATTTTCAAAATAATACTTTATTTTTTTTTAGTTTAGTTGTGTATGAATAGAAATTTATTCAATTTCCATTGCAATCTAGGATTTAATTTGATTTGAGTTTTAAAAAATTGATATATTTTTTTGGTGAGGACAAAAAATTCATATTTAAACTGGCTTTTAGAAGCTCGTGAATATCCGAAATGGCATTTTTTAATTAAGTTAGGACGCCTTTTTTGTTGTTGTTGTTCTGATTAATATAAAAAAAAAAATCTGATCAGTCAAGCGTGCCAGGTTAAAGGAAACGAACACATGATTTTTCAAATAATTATCATAAAGGATTACGTACGTATATTACCAAAAAAAAAAAGTCTCATATCACATGTACATGCTACATAATACATGTCCCAATATATAGAAATCTAAAAGACAAAAAAATGTAGTATTCATTACTAATTAACTTAAAGATAGTTAACTAACATCCACAACAAGACAATCTCACTCATATTTCTTGGAAAAATCAAGAAATAAACACCTTGTAGTAACGAAGCTTCTGTTCTTCATCCTTCACAATGGAAAAGTCACGAGCAGCTTTTGTGACTTCAAATTCTGTAATAATATTCCTATACAACCAACACAAGCAAGCCTCTTCCCTCTTGCTTTTCTCAAGATGAGAGACATCTTTAGCGTATATCTTTTTTATTTACAAAAAGAAAGTCACTTGGATCCGTACGCAATTATAGTAACTAGTAATTAAGGATTGGGATTAGCAACAAAGTATGCTAAAACCCCAACAAAGGGTGCATTAATATATGTGGTTGGCTCGGACTTCCTAAAATCAGCCCTATTATCATCATAAACATCATCTTGTCCGGGTCCTCCCACAATGGCTCCTAGGAGAACATTAGGGTTAGGATTTGTTGAGTTGAAGTAGATTGAACCTTCTTTGCAAGCAATGAACTGAGGATGATCCTTAATGGAGGGTAAAGAAGAGCCACGATGATGAATACGCTGCGGATATTTGTTGCTGTAGCCAACCATGTAAGATAAACCCATTGGATTATCGCCCAAAATGTAATCAACTTGCTTCTTAGCACGCTGTCGAAGTGTTTGTGCACTAACATAGACGTTACCACAATTGATGGTTTGTGAGGTGCGAGATAGGTAATTAGCATAGACCAACTCAAGGAAAGCGATTGAAGTTGCATGCTGTAAGTTGCTTCCCCCAGGCCTGTATATGAGTCCACCGGGACTGTACTCTATGTGGGAACTTGATGTTTCCGGTATCAGTGTGCACAGGAAGCTCTCAGCCGAAGTCTTGTAGGATTCAAGAGAGTTTATGTTTCCTTCTACAACTTCCTAAAAAATAATTGATATATATATATATATATTTTTATTTTATTTTTGGGTTAAAAAGATGGATGCACAACCTAGCTATTTCTCTCTCTCTTTTTAATTATGTGAATGAATATGTGAGAAGGATATTGTGTATACATTGATCTTGTCACATAAATTTGTGTGATTGCAAGAGTGGTTGCGTTGAATAGAGGGTAAATGGGAGACTGACCTTGGAGACAAGAACGTTAAGGCCAGCATGCTTGTTGTCCCATCCAAACTCATTTATATTGTCCTCTGCACCAAGCGTTTTGCCATTGCTTTGAATGTAGTTGAGGAAATTATCGTCCTGCGTGGCCCTCCTTAGCCATGCGGCTCCCCATAACAATTCGTCCTGTTATTATGTATAGTTTTAAGTTAAAACAATTTGACATGTCAAAATCTAAGTGATTGAAACATTAATCACGGGTCAGTTTGTTTATTTAACTCTTTCATCAATGTGTCATGCTCATGTGAATTAATCAATCATATATACATTAATTATATATATACATTCCCCTAAGGCACTGATTGTGGGTTAGATTTGTTTTGTCACCATCATCTTATCCATCCAAACGACATATCCTCGAATGCTATTATTATCGAAAAGGAAAAAGATATCAATTCATTATTGAAAATCCAAAGTCAATTACCTGATATCCATCAAAATCACAATAATATGGACAGACACCATCCCTGACATTAGCATTGTCACTGTAGGCACCCCTGTAGTTATCTGCAAATTGAAAGGCCTTAACAGCATTTCGTAACAAGGTCTCTGAATAACCTGAATCCGATGATCGGAATGCCATGGATGAAGCTGCGAGCGCCGCCGCGGTTTCACCGGCGACATCCGAAGCTGGGTTTGGTGCATCAACAGCATACACAGTCCTGTTAGTGTCCATGTCTTCAGGTCTCTCCCAACAGTTATGGTCTGAGATTGGATCACCCACCTACATCGTTAATTAATAACAGTACATTAATTATTCGGCAATCTAGTCATTCATTAAATGGAAGGTGAATACACTGCAATCTTTAGCGCGTTGGTGACATAAATTTTCGAGCTGCTAAGCCTATGAAAATGAAACTCACGGACTTTGAGAACGGAAAGTGGTCCACTCGTGCATAATGAAAAAATTATAGTTACATTATTGACCATTGGCATTAATTTTTAGGTAGCTAGTAAAAAAAGATTGGCATTAATTTTATTGTAGATGGTAAAAAAGTAAAAGTAATTTACCTGAACGAAAATGCGGTTGGGCTGTGAAACGGTTTTGAGCAAATAATCAGTAGCCCAACGGATTGCAACCAAGGCGTTTCTGAGTTCATTGGGAGGCATCATGTCTCCGAATTCAATCACACTCCACGACAACATAGTTGTCGTGAATGCCATCGGAAACCCGAATTTCACGTTGTCGCCGGCGTCGTAGTACCCGCCGGTGAGGTCAACGTTGTAGGTCCACCCATCACTCAGACCCGAATTGGCTCTCCAGTTCTGTCTCTGGTCCTGTGGCAGAAAACCCGATCGTTGTCCCTCGAAGAAAAGGATTGCCTTCGACAATGCGTCATCGTAGTCATGGGCGCTTCCTGAATTGGGCGTTCCAATTATGAACAGAAGGAAGAGGAAGAAATTGAACTTGGGTAGTGCCATTTTTTTTTTTGGGTTTGGTGGGTGTGGGTTGGTTGTATTTATAAGAACCGTGACGAGTGTGTCTATTCAATTCAAGTGGGTGTTATTTATAACGCATTGTTAGAGTGTGTCACGGGGTGAGTCTTGAAAGCGAAGTTTAAGAGACAAACAGAGATTGGTTTTGGAGGGAAGAGGAGGATGTGTGTTGAAAGCGCCGACAGTTAAAATGGGGAGAGTGTCGCTGTGTCAGTGACTCAGTGAGGTCACATGCGAACACAAACGTGAGTCCGCAATGCTTGAGCATGAGAGAAAGGTGAGGTGTGCTTGCTTTGATTTCTCGTGGGTCCATTTCTAATCTTTCTACATTTTTTTATTTTTATTTTTTAAATAAATATAATGAGCTTGATTCTTAAACAAGAATCTAGTATTTTGTTAATTAAAGTTAACACGAGCCATGGGCAACGCAAGTGTTTTATTCTCATTCCTCTATATTCTCTTCTTGTTTTGTACGCGCGGTTAGGCTACTTTCTTTAATTATGACTAACAAGCTACATGTCTTAACCTGATTCCATTCTATAATAGATATTCATTCTACACTCTACTAAAACTCTGTTTGAATTTTATTAAAGAAGAAAAATAAGAACCCAAAATCGAGGTAGATGTTTGCGTGCCTTGCAGATTCTTCGGGGAGAGAGTGGGTTTTGAAAGATTTTAACTGTTAATAAAGGCGAGTGTCTTGAAGTAGTTAATTGGAAGTTGAGAAGATAGTGGAGTAGTGGATTCCAAAGAGATGCATAGTCGAGTAGAACGTGACAAAAATATACCTATCTCTATATTGAAGGTAGCGAAAAGAGGCGGTGCTCACTTTTTTTTTTTTTTTTTCCCCTTCTTCTTCTTTAATCCGTATCAAGCCAAATTGGTTTCGATAAAATATTGAGTGAGGACAAAGTTCATGCCATTTGGTGCATGTACTCGAAGACGTTTTTTCTCAAGTTATCAAAGACTGGCTTCAAATTTGTTATTTGTAAAGAAAAAAATTGTACATGTAACATTTCCAAGTAGATAATGATTGTTTTGTTAACTTCTAAGCATGAAATGAAAGGTAAAGTATTTTATTCTCAACATGTTGTAATTTTTGTATGTTCCTTTTGTTTTTAAAAAACACACAAAAATATATATATATCAATTTTAATTTTTTTTTTAGTAACAACTTGCACGACTATTATAAAATGTTTTATTTTTTTAATCCTTTTTCAAAGTTTAAATTTTTTTTAAAAATTGAAATAACGCAATTGATAAAATTATGAAACGTGTAAACTACAATATACTTCGGTTCTTTTATTTCCATTTGACGTTTCCTTTCTATCTTTGTCAAAATTCACTACACTATAAAGGTGTAGATGACTATATCGGCTGTCTTCACTTGATTTCACTTTTATAGTTTGCTGTTTCTTGATAGCAAATACTACATAAACAATTCAAGATATTAATCTAGTGATTAAAATGGTATGTTTTTATTTTTTATCTTGTTTAATGAATTTTGTGTGGCTCAATAATATACTTACTATATATATGCAACTGAATTTATCAGTAGATTTCCTTTCTTTTCTTTCTCTCTTTTTGGCATAGAAGACTATGCTCATGTCATCTCTTTTACTATAATCTCCTAAATATTATTTACCCCCTCTCTTTATATATACATATGAAAGTGATCAATATAAATTTATATTGATGTAAGAATAATTAATTATAATTGTTAATCAACTTGCATTCAAAAAAATTAATTTTTTAATCACATAAACAAATAAAATTAACTATTAAAATTGATAGTAAATAAGAGAGATTGCACAATTAATATGTGGATTTGAACTCAATTCAACACACTTTCTCTTTTACTGATTCTCTATGACAAATCTACTCTTATATTTTATGTCAGTCCTGATTACTCCTACGCCATTTCTGTACATCCGATCTTTCTCCAATCCTTGAGTATCTTGTGTGTGGTTTGATAATCTCTCTCGGATCCCATTAAAATTTTCTATCCCATTAATATGTGATAAACCTTTAGTTTATCTTGTTTTATAGACTAAAATCATATGAATTATCAAGTTAAATAAATAAAATCTAGGGTTTATTGACATAAAATCATGAACTTTATGAATTATGAATTAAATATTATATATTTGCTATTTTGAAGGGATTTGAAGATAAATGGAAGCAAATATGAAGATATGATAGATAGAAATCCAAACTAGAAAATATGAGTATCTATCTAAAGAAAATCAAGAAGTTTCAAGTTGTTGAAGAGGAGCTTAAGCTCCCATTTTGGAGCCAAGTTACTAAAAAAAATTTGTGCGAGGGGGCTTAAGCCCCCAAAACGAGGCTTAAGCTCACTCCAAGTAAAAGTTCCTCTTCGAAGAGCTCATACAAATCTGCACTACTGTCCCAGAAGGCTTAAGCCCCCAAATTCAGGCTTAAGCGCCCATCGCCCGGCTTAAGCCCCCAAAATATTCCTAAATACGCAAATAGCCTCTGCCTCTGGGTGCTTAAGCCCCCAACTCGCGAGCCAAGAGGAAAGTTCAGACTCGAAGAGCGCGCTTAAGCGCTCTCCAGCGCGCCACGTTAATCTTCCATGCAATCCTCAGTAAGCTTAAACGCGCCCCAGCAAGCTTAAGCGCGAACGTTAATTCTGAATTCGTAAATTATGAAGCTTAAGCGCGAATGAGCAAGCTTAAGCGCCCCGAAAGACTCAACTTAAGCCCACTTGAAGTATCCACCTAGGGCACGAATTCTTTACCCTTAAAAACACATTTGGGGTCAGAATTAAGAAGTTTTTCACATTGCAAAACAATTCTTGGTGCTTGAAGGCAGAGGGAACGCGGAAGATTCATCGTTTCATGTTCGTGAGTGGCGGAGACGAATCAACATCAAGTCTGCACTGGGGATATTGAAGATTCACCAATCACCTATGGAGTTTGGGGGAGCTTTTATATTGTCTTTCATTCGTGATATTATTATTTCTGGCTAGTTCTTTATGTAGTTAGGGTTAGATAGAATTTAATCGATTTATTATGCTTTGAACAATTCGTATGTTAATTTTTCTTTATATCATGAATGAAATTATCTATTTTTAATGCTTTATATAGGCTTGAATCTTATATATTGATCGTCAGTAAATGCATGACAATAGGAATGTTGGTGTGTGATCCTTATTGATAATTTCATCATACGCTTTATGATTCTAGGGATAGACATAGAGTTTACGTAATCTTTAAGATTCTTGAACTTAATGCTTGCATTCTTGGGGAATAACCGGGGAACTAGGGTTCTTGTGAAGGTTTAGGGTAACAAGGGATTGAGCCCTAATTACATGCGAAAGAATTGATTAGATTGATACTAAGGACGATTAACATTAAGAAGGAATTCAAACATAATAAATAGATTAAAGGAAACCGAAACCCTAGCTACGTTCTTTGAAATCAGTTAATTCAAATCTTTAAATTCTTGTCTTTAATTCTTGCGATTAATTAGTTTCGTCTTTTAAATTTCAAATTCAAATTCCGTTCCAAATACAATTTTGATTGTCCAACTAAGTTTGCGATAGTAAATTAGTGCTAGAGTATAATTTTCGTGGGAACGATCTCTTATTCAATCATTATATTACTTATACGATCGGTGCACTTGCCGTGAGTAGCAACAATATGCCTACGGAGACGGACTTGCCTTCCCTCAGTCACCTAGATAGGGCTGCAACTTGGCAACAATTACGAAATTATGAGCCTTGAACCTGGAGGAGTGGGATTTGCACTAAAATGCTTAAACTTAACATTAGAAAACATGCATATGAAAAAGAAATAAGAGTGCATAAATAATCAAAGTTTATGGGTATATATACCACTAGAAGTGGATCAGAGATACGAGATTTTGATAATTTATATGAGGTTATAGATCTAAACCTCGCATAAAAAATAAATAAATTATAGCAATACGCTATATGGTAAGTTAAGCGTTACTCATTTGACTATGCTCTGTTATCTATTCAATAGAAATGTTACTTGCGCGATTCTAAAAGTTTGAATATAATATTACGCTTTACAGCTCGAGAAATTTGTGGGTCAGAAATAAAATTAAGGGTTATTCTGTGCAATTTAAAAGAATTGACAAAAAAAAATTACCTGGCTTCGAAGTTTGGAATGTTAGAAGCCAATCATTTCACTTAGCTTGGAGCTTCTATTAAATTCCTGTCTTTGTTTATACCATAAAGAATTCCGTTAAATTATGACAGTAACAATATTCCGTTTTAACTTTGTGGTTGGAGATTAGAAAGAAATTGAGCTCCGACAATTGATTTCTTTTGTGGGTTGCTGGGCTTTGCCACATCTAGAAGGCAAAGAATCTTTTTGGAACTTTAACGTGATCATTTTTGCTTACACTATCACTGGAATTAAAAAAAAAATCGAATAAGCATTCATACACATCAATAAGGGATTTCAATGTAATTAATATATATACGGAGAGGAAGGTTATAGTTACAACCTTTTTTTTTACAACTTCTTACAACCATATATCATAACCGTTGATTTCCGCCAATCAACGGTTGTCATTTATTATGAATTAATAATTAATTAATAAATTTAATTTACGAAAATCATAACCGTTGATTAGCAAAAATCAACGATTATGATATATAATTGTAAGAGGTTGTAAAAAAAAAAGTTGTAACTATAACCTCTCCCATAGACGAATACATATATTATTTAAGAGCCTACAGGGTTGGGGCACAGCACAAGTTCAGGAAAGCTAATAGAATAGCGAACATTTTGAGGCAGTCTTATTATCTTAATCTGCGAAGTTCTGCCCCCAAAAAACTAGTGTTCTATTGCTATAAATTCCGATTCATGATTAACTTTATACTTGAAAACAAATCTATATTTTTAAATTATCTTTGAAATGGTAAATACGTTGACCAGTATACAATTCACTTTAAACTAAAGTTTCTATTAAGTTATTAACAGTTTAACACAATTCAAAATCCACAAGGGACTGTATATCGAAGCCACAATGGCCAACCGTGTAATTCGCAACAACAGCAAAGGCAAGTAGCATAGAAGCTATTAAGTAGACTGCATATCAACCCAACTTTTTCCATTATCATTCATTGAAAAAGGAGAAGTACAATGAAAGCTTCATATACAATTTCCATATCTACATCAGGGACCACGCAGAAGCTACGGAACAAACTTTAGGAGTAAGAATCATAGAATATTGGATGGTGATGCAATTTTATTATGTAAATGATAAATGCTTTAAGTACAACTGTAAGCCTGCACTAAGCCCTATGACATGGGCTAATCTCTTGTCTGTCCCCTTAAAAACCTTATTACCAAAAAAAAAAAAAAATGCTCCATAAGCAAACAGTCAGAACTCAAATAATAAATTGGCCCCAAGAAAGGAAAATGGCCAATGACCAAGATTAAAATTCTTTTCGACATACACAAATCACAACCGTCAGATTCATTTTGGTCCCCTACGGTAAGGATTTAGAACGTCATCTAGGGTCTCTTTTACGTAGTTACCTACTCTGTTCAAGTTTCTGGCAACGCCTGATGCCACTAAAATCGCATTCCTTTTAAATCTGCACATTTAGAATCAAAAGGGAGTTAGTATTTTCATAGCACACAACAATCTTTAGAACGCAAGCAAATACTACTAGATTTATCGCGTCTATGGTGGAAATTTCTGCTTGCCTGTTCAAGTATTCTTCCCCTGTGAAATGTGGAGCTTTATAACTTCGAGGTTGGGGCATAGCAAGTTCATGTTCTAAAATAACAAGACCAAAAACCATGAAATAAAAAACATCAAACAATAAGGAAGGAATAGGAAAAAAGAAAAAAGAAACAAAAATCACCACAACATATAATATTTTAACATAATAAAAGCCCCAATTACTTAGCATTAGCAGTAAGTATTCTGCAAACAGAGAAATGGCAATTATGTAAGCAACATAAACAATTAGAGAAACAAATAATCATGATTTACAGTTCTATATGGCTTGTGCTCCAAGTGATAACTTTTTATCTATCTTGCTCACCCCCATTACATGTGCATTAAAGTCCACTGGCAGCGTAGACAGAGGAATTTGTTTGAAATGCACCAAGTTTTTGTGGAAAATATCTATTAACAGAATTACTAATGTACAAGTATAGTGAAACTACTCAATATTCCCATAAAAAAAAGGTTCATTTCATTTTGCGCAGCAACCTGAGAATGTCGGTGAAACACACTGCTTTCATATGGGAGAAGGTATACAAAGAAAAACACAAACCAATGATTTCCAAGATCCAAGAGAAGTACCAAACTTATGCCGATGCTTCTAAATCTAAAGTTATTGCTTTTAAAAGTTAAAGGGGAGTCATTGAAAAAGAAGGAAATACCATAGGAGAAAAGAAAAACCAAGAAAACTTGTACCTTCAATTTTCTGAGAAGGAGCAGGAACATCACTAACAGGGGACGTTGAAGGCCCCTTGTTCATCAACATCTGCAATACACGTTCAGGGAGTTAGAAATTTAGATCAAAGACCTTTGGAGCAAGTAAAACCTGTTTTTCCATCTACATAAACTAAGAGGGAAAGGAAGTTAAAATATATAACCTCAAGACCAACACAAAAGGGCAACTTTGGTGTTTTATTCTGCGAGTCAGCTGGAGAATTTTTGCTGTCTAAGTAGATGGAGTATCCAAGACAAACATACTTGAAATTTTCAATAGTTGTGCCCCGCTTCGAAGCTTCCAACTCTGCTTCTCCCACAGTGTTAGAGGGAACTGGTTATGTGCATGATACCATCAGCACAAAACTTTTGGTGCATATAATTGAATAATGATTAAGTCCCCCATAAACGAAACAAATAATGGCAAATTTAAGTTTCATTAATAAAGCCCAATGCATCAGATACCCAAACAACATTAGTTTCACTACTCAAGCAAATTTATTGCACATGAAAGCTGTGTAAACATCAACATCAACAACACTTTTATCCCAAACTAATTGGGGTCGGTGGTAGATGAACCCAAATGAAAGGTACGAAGAGATAAAATAAAAATAAATAAATAATACTAATAATAATAATAAGAATATATATATATATATATATATATATATATATATATATATATATATATATATATATATATAAAGGGGTGTTAAAAAAAATAAAAAGGAAGAAGAAGAATAGGAAGAAAATGGGGAAGGGGAAAAAAGACAAAGGAAAAGAAAGGTAAAATAAGAAGAGGGGGGAGCTGAAGAGAAAAAGGAACTATCTGGAACATAGGAATAACAACGAGTCTAACCATCCACCATGCTAATAGCTTTTCTCCATTTCGTCCTAAGGCACACCATCCGCCAATCTATATCTCACTTCATTAAGTCTTGTTTTACTACATTCCCCCAAGTAAGTTTCGGTTTACCTCTACCTTTCTTTGTGTCGAGATCTTGGTAACAAACTTTTGTTCTTACGGGAGATCCAGGGACCTTCTCATTACATGCCCAAACCACCTCAATTTATGTTATCTGATCTTTTCATCCACCGGTAGTACTCTTACCTTACGTCGAATATCTTCATTTCTTATCTTATCCATCTTCCTATAACCACACATCCACCTTAACATCCTCATCCCTGCTACTCCAATTACTGTTGTTTTATAGAATTTTCCTTTTAGCTTAAGGGAATTTTGCGGTCACACAAAAACCCAGAAGCACTACGTCATTTCATCCACCCTGCTCTAATTCTATGATTTACATCCTCATCAATCTCTCCGTCTTTTTGCAGAACGGATCCTAGGTATTTTAAAGCCTCTTTTTTAGGTACCTCTTGATCAAATAGATGAAATGGCATAGTTAAATAAAGAAGATGACCAACAAGACTAAGAAGTTAGAAATCACATGACTACATATCACTTGGAAACCTTTTCTTCCAAAAATGATGAGTTGCTCAAGTATGCAACTATCATGGAAAGCAACATTAGAATATCAGCTTCAGATTGAAAGCATAATTAGAATTTCAGCTTCAGGTTGAAATCCAGTGGCCTACATTCCCCAAGATGAAAACATGGAATGCAATGTTATTATCTTTAAAATAATATGTATGAGAAACTACGGGGTAAATTGCTAAATGCTAGGTAGGTGTGATTCTGTAACATATACTAACAACAGTACCCGGAAAGGTCATACAATCTGTTACTTGGAAATGCTATTCCAGAATACAGCACTGGAAATAAACAAGGAACAAACTAGATAATTGAGCATCTCGAGATGTTTAAGTCCAAAATAAGTTATTTCAATTTCACTACTACTTTGCATATATCTGAAAACCCATTTGATTTTTCTATTAAGTCTATACTACCGAACTGACAAAGATAAAGCAACAGCATATAATCCAGTTTCCACCAAAATGAGCATCGTTTAGACAACAACATAAGATGAAAAAAAGTAAAAAGAGAGAGTAAACATCCAATTTAATCTTCGGAAGATTTTCAAATCAACAATTTGGTTCTCGATATATTAATCCTCAAACAATGATTTTTGGTCATCCATATTTTTGCCCCAAAAAACAATAACTTAAAGTTTGAACTATTGATAATCAAAATCGGAGTTTGCTTTACAAAAAAAAGTAGTATACAGAGAGGGAAACGGACATTGCTGAATCGCTCCAGAGATGCCAACGCAAGTGGGGTTTTTAGATTTGGATTTGCGAACTGATGAGTAGTACAAGCTTCCCTTACAAGATTTTGCTTTGGATACACTGCGCTGGCGAGGGTTAGGGTTAGGGTTTCGATTAATGGGGTTTTGAGGCTCACAGTTACCCCCTCTCGAAGCGTCATCACTGTTAACCTCCATAGACACTGAATTGGATTGATTTCCTATGTCCCTGTATCACTTATATAATTCTTTATAACCGCAGAATTAACAGTAGTCAGTGATGACAAAAAGAAGAAGAAGAAAAATGAAAATATGCATCAACAGTTTCTAACAGCACCACCAACGCCTCACGTGCGAAAGTCCAAAACAAGAATATAAAACCTTTAAAAAAATAAAAACAAAAGATACGACCGCGTTTTGGGTTGGTTCAGGTTGTGTTGACTGTTGAGAGGATTTTCGACCTGTGAAAAGTGTTTGCTAGAAAAAAATTGAGATGAGTTTTTTAGTTAAATATGTTTGACAGGAGATTTTAAAAAATTTGTCCATCATTTGAATTTGCATAGCAATTTAGTTTGTGTGTAAAATTGAAATTTTTTGCCATCTGAGAATACTATTACTCTATCAAACCAAAAAGTAGGAAAAAAGTAAAAGGCAAAAATATTTCTTCTCAAAAAATGTGCCAAATAAAGCTAGAGAGAGTCTTCTTTGTATTTAGTCAGGGTTAGTTTGATAATTTCATCGTATTTTTCCATCAATATTTTACCTTTAACCAAACATAGACTCAAAAAATTTCACTCAATTTTTTCTGTAATATTTTGGCTTGCCAAACAAATTTTTTTAACTTTCCTACTAAACTCACTTTCCTATCATACTCCTAGTAATTATATTTTCCTGATAAAAAAAAGTTTTTCCTCTACCAAATGCCTCTAAAAGGAATTATGTTTGGCTGATACAGAGAACAACTACGTAGTTTACTTCGTAGAAGAGGCTAATTATAACCATGCACTTACTTCATAGAGGAGGCTAACTATAACCATGCACTCCATGAGGAGCCTTGGATTGTTGCTAATCACTATTTGATCGTTCAAAGGTGGGGGCTATTATTTGATCTCTATGATGATCAGTTTAAAAAATTAGCAGTGTGGATCAGGATTATGGTCTTCTAGTTAAGTTTTATACCATGCATCATTTGTGGAACATCAGTAATATATTTGGTCGTACATTTAAAATTGATAAAAACTACCTTTCGATGCTTCACCATAGACCAGCTCATTTCCTGGTACAAATGTATACATTGGGCTGAGTACTGGTATAATATCACTTTTCATGGTTTTGCAGGATGACTCCATTCGAGGCATTATATGGTTGACCCCTCCTTCCATCCCTGACTATATTGCTGGTAGCACCCGAGACCCTTCGATCGACAGCATGCTTCAAGACTGTGATGCACTATTACAACTGCTTAAGCACAACCTCAAGTGAGCCCAGCAACTTATGAAAGATCAAGCATGTCGTAAGCGAACAGATCGTCAATTCTCCCCTGGTTCATGAGTTCTCGTCAAGCTGCACAAGTATCGACAATAGACCGTCGCGCATCGCAAATTTTACAAGCTCTCCAGGCATTTCTATAGTCCTTTCCAAATCGTCTCTTGCATCGAAAATATCGCATACTACCTGTCCTTACCTCCAACCTCACGCATCCACTCAGTTTTCCATATTTTTTTGCTCAAACCTTTCTTTGGTGACCCTGTCATCACGCCACTTGCTCTGCCTGATGTTGACATTGAGAACCTTGGGGACAAAGTTCGTCTCCAAGGGGAAGGGAATGATGCGAACCCACAGTGTATTGAGGTATTAAGGCCGTATGTGCAAGAGGCCCAAATATTTGGAGGGTTGTGTATTTATCCAGGCGCCAACTGATTCCAGCCCATCTGATAAGGAGTAGCAGCAACTAATCTAGCAGCAACAGTTTATTTCTTGTTCTCTACATTTGTTCCACGTTCTCAACTCTTGACACACGTTCTCAACTCTTTGCACACGTTCAGTTGCATTTCACAGCATTTTCTCCATGTATTTCAGTTTTTCATTTGTGCGATATGCATTGTTAGGCCGCACTTGTTTTTGTAATCCCTTTAAAAAGGATATTTTGCAATGAAATGGATAGACTGGTTTTGCCCAAATTTCTATTTTTTATTAATATTCAAACTTCCCTCTTTTGCTAAAAAGGGATCCTACCAATATTCTTTCTTGGGATAATACCAATTACTTAGAGTTCTTGAGTAGATGCTTGTGTCTTAATGAAATTAAAGATACCATGTTTTCTATAGGAGCTTGTAAGGCTTTAGGTGTGAATGGATTAGTGCACAATTCTTTCAATATCAGTGAAACTTAGTTGATGCATCAATTAGTAATTTTGTCAAAAATAATCGAGGAGATGAATCAAACTCTATTGTGCCTCATTCCTAAGATTGAGAAACGTGAGTCTATTACCTAACTTCGTCCCATTAGTCTTTATAACATTGTGTGTGTGTGTGTGTGTGTGTGTGTGTGTGTTTCCCACTAAAATGAAACATTTAGGCCCGTTTGGTGCCTAAATGAAAACGATTAACCCCACACGGGGTTTGTGAATAAGTAATTGTCTGATAATGAGCAAGAAATATACGTCATTATGCTAAATAGGATGTATTCAGCTCATAATTCATTAGATACTTTTTATGATAAGATAATTTATCATATCATGTTTGTATCAGTTGTTTCGTGTGTTTAACGTATAAGATAAAATTATCAGGTTGGTTAATATTTTCCTATCTAGAGCCCGATAACTTGTCCCAATAGAGGGCTTAGGTTAGAACCTAATAAGATGGGATAGAAAAAATAAATTTAATTTTTTCCAACAAAAACCCCTACAATGTCAAAAACCCTTCCTATTCTCCATCGATGCTACCCAATACAAGCGACTCTCTCTCTCTCTCTCTCTCCCTCTTTGCTATCAAAATCAGAAAATTTATCTATATCTTCTCGATCATGATGCCCAACAAGTGACTCTCTTTCTCCCTCTCTCTCCCCCTCTCTATTGTTGATGGTGGGTTCGGTTTCATTGTTATATGTGATTCAAACACAAATTGAAGAAATGATATTTGGAAGTGGGATTAGAAGGAACAACTTCAGTGCCTCCAAGAAAAATTGTTACACCACCAACAACTCGCTGTTAAAATAATGCTATAAAAGAATAAGAAGAAAAAAATAATGTCGTAAACAAGAATTAGGAAGTGTTCGGGACCCACCGAATCTTCCAACCCCACCGTTTCTTTTTTGACCTCAAGAACCCTTCTTCTCTGCCAACTCTACTTACTCCTCTGCCATAAAAGATTTTCCCCTTTAAAGTTGAAATGGCATAGGGAATGAATCAATAAGCATTTTGCATTTTTCCTTTGTCTGTTTGTTGCCTACATGATTTTTTTGGAGTAAATATCTTTTGGAGGACTAATATGAGTCCTTTTTTAGGGACTAATGTGAGTTTTCTTTGAATTTCTGAGGGACCATAATTTTAAAGAACTAGAATTTCAAAGAGCCCGTTTGGATGGACTTTTGAAAAAAGGACTTTTTATGCATTGCTTTTTTCAAAATATCTTTTTTTAAAAGGTAAAGTTATTTTACGTTTGGAAATATGATGTGAAAATTGCTTTTACATAAAAAAATAATCATTTGGATGTTAAAAAAAAAAAAGAACTTTTTATATACAAAATTACAAAAAACGACATTAATAGGGAGAGCATTAATGTTGTATTCACTTTCTTGTTTGTTTTGTGACTTAGTTTCTGTGTTTATTTTCTTGCTTATGTGATTGTGGCTTGAAAAAAAGAAAAATATCAAGAACCAAAGAAAAAAGAAGAACCAAAAATAGCAATTGTAGGATGAGGATAAATGAAAGAAAACGGTACCTGGAAGAAGAAAACATAGGAACGAAAATAAAAAAGAGGGAGGTGTTTGATTGTAAAGTAATAGGTTGTTGTAGCTAACAAAAAAATAACATAATCGTGGGATAGGGAAAGATAATAGACTGATAGGATAAGGTTAAATTTGTATTTTAAAATTTTATATTATCTTTTAGAAGGAGATCAAATTTGAATTCCGAGCAATGGATACTTTATAATCCAGTAATTAGTAATCTAATAATTACGGTTCGTTCTATTAATTAATTGCAATTAAACTCGGCCCAATCCTTTTAGTCAAAAGCAATCAACTATTGGCTAAAAAAGAGTACTATTTTAACTTTTGCTTTTTTAAAAAGTTATCCAAACATCTAAAATTCCTTAAAATGATTTATTTTTTTTTAAATAAACTTTTTTAGAAACAAAAGTCCATCCAAACAGACTCTAAAATGCTTTTCGTATTTTTTGTTGAGGATCCAAAAAGATATTTACTTTTTTTTTTTTTTAAATATGCGTACATAATTTTTTATTTAAATTGAATTCAAGGTTATATTTTATCAACATTGATAACTGTAGCCACTCATATATATTTATTTTATATATTTAATTTAAAATTATTACTTTTAGATTTTTAAGAACTTATAATAAAAATAATTTATAAAGTGAAAAACGTTTAAAAATTAAATTAAAAAAACTTATAAAATTATTTTATAAAAGATATTTTTATCTATTTATATCATATCGCGATAATATCTAGTCTATCCCAAACACAAGATAAAATAATATAATTCTATCAGATTTCTTATACAACGCACATGAAACATAGGAAAGAATATGAGCTTGTCAAACTCGTATCCATTTCTACTCTTATCCCGCCTCTTATTTTATCCATCTTTATATATCCGCAACTTCCTTTCATCATTAATTGGTTATTAATCTATGGCCCCATTTGTATATTTTTTAAGAAGTTGTCCTTTTCAAAATAAAAGTAATTTTCGCTTTACGTGTGTATTTGAATATAATTTTTGAAAAAAAAAAGGAAAAAAAAGAGTTAAGACTTTTAAAATAAATTATAATACTATTTTTTATTTAAATTATTTTTTAAATAGCTTTAATGTGACTAAAGTAAATATAAATAAGTTATCTACATTCACTCCCAAAACGATATCATTTTGAATTGAAAAATTAAAAAATTATAATAAAAAAGACTATTATAACCCTGAAATAAATTATAATTACAAAAATACCATAATTTCTGCCTCAAAATGATATCATTTTGAGCTCACTGTAAATAAATTATCTACATTGACCGTAGAAAAAACGAACTCTTTTTAAATACCACCCAAACATAAAATAACTCTTGACTTAAATTTTTTTATAAAAAAACATTTTTATTTTTAAACTCATCCAAACGGACCCCTAAAGCCAGCCACCTTAAATTCTGCTGCTAGTCATCTCTCGCATCACTCAACTGCAAGTAAGTAAGGAATACAAGGCCAAAAAAGGCAATCAAGCGAGAGAAATAAATGAAAAGCTACAATGCACAAGTTCTACATACATGACGCACTCTTATATAGTGTTAAGACAGGGAAAGGGAAAATACTGTACAGTAAGAGATAATTCTCTGCCGCTAATAAGCCCTACAACTCTTTTAAGGGTGTAGAAAATCACAGGAAGCCCCTTTCCTGCAATGTCCACTCTCATGAAACCTGCAGACTCCTCTTTGTCCCCCGAAAGGAGGCCTGGAAGAACCCCCTCTGCCTCCGCTGCTAAATGATGACTGTCTGTTCCAAGATTTACCTCCATAACCAGAATCTCCACCTCCACCATGGGTACCACGATCCCCTTGGTTGGGAAACCTGTCTCCATTATGACTTTGCTCACTTCCCCACACCCCTTGATTCCCAGCTGGTGCAGACCAACCGGGATTGGCACTTCCAGGTGCCAGCCCTTGACCAGGTCCAGGAACAACCCAACCTGCATTTGCACTTACATGTGAACCTCCTTGACCAGGTGCAACCCAGCCAACTGCATTTACTGGAGGTACACCCTGACTAGGAGCAGCCCATCCTGGATTTGCATTTCCAGGTGCTGCCACCTGCGCAGGCATCCAGCTCATGTTCATGTTCATATTGGCAGGAAAAGCCCCACTACCCCAGTTAATATTCTGATTTCCTGGCAGGCCCATGCCCCAAGGTATATTGGGCGGAGCTGGAGCCGGAGCTGTAATGTTTGATTGATTACTTGAAGTTGGTGGTCTCCAAGGCTCAGGTGTAGTCATACCCACAAAGCCAGGCGTGGGTAAACTCCCAGTTGGATTTCCAGTGCTAAATGAGGTAGAGTTCTGGATAGACGAAGCATCACCCCAAAGGCCATGGGAAGCGGGCCGGACAGGCATAGTAGCAGGATTATTTGGTTCTATCCATTGAGATGGGGTACCTCCCCAGGCCTGTTGTTCTGGCTTTTGAACCAAACCAGAACCCCACCCTTGAGCTTCAATACGAGAGTTATGGCTACTCACAACTTGGTTTTGGACACCTGCCATTTTAATGTCAACACCTGAAGTCAGAACAGGTGCCGCTGTTGTTGCTTGAGGATGCACTTGAGTATCTGTGGAGCTCAATATCATACCCTTCTCTGATTTAGAAGCTGAAGTCATACCAGCTTGTGAACTTGAACCATTTTCAGTATTTTGTACAACATTCTCTGGGAGCACTACCCCAGAGGCCTGCAAACCTCCAGGACCGCCTGGGAATGAATTTCGTAAGAGAGACCCAGCCAACTGGACAGGGGTTGGAGACCATGTATTTTCAAAAGCCTGGCCCTTAGTCGCACCTGAAGTAGGCTGGGGAGTAGGCGAAGGAAGATTTGTTGATTCATTTCTAACACCGGCATCAGAACCCCAACCATTTGCAGGATTCTTGGGGACCTCAACTGCCAAAGGAGAGGGTCTATTTGCTACAGAATTAATATTATCTTTAGATCTCCAAATTCCTCCTGTGGTTTGTCCAGGAGAACCCAGAGTACTATTTAAATTCCAAGATCCACTATTTTGATCAAATGTTGATCTTCCTCCAACTTGACCTTCTATGCCTTTTTGAGCAGCCAAATGCACCGTTTGAGCCTTAGGAAGAGTTTCACCCACCATTGGTGGTTCCTTAGAAACTTTCCCTGCTAAGGCATCTGTTAAGAGTATAGATTCATCTTGCTTCTCAGTGGTTCTCCAAATCCTCAAATCAGCAGGAAAGTATCCTGTGTTACTCCATTTGCGTAGCTGCACCATGGAAAATGGTCCCTGAACTTTTCCAGATGGATCCTTATAATGCCACATCTTTTCAGTTTCGTTAATTTTCACCGCTGGGGGAGCTATTCCAGCACAAGATGGTGTTGCAGAAGCTTCTAGCACAGCAGTAGAAAAAGACTCAGATGTTACCAATGGTTGGCTACTTTTAGCACCACTTTCGAAGCTTGAAGATAGCTTTTGCCTCTCCCAGCTATTTGATAGTTGTGATTCCCTATCTCTTCCCTGATGCAATTGAGCATCATTTAATGCCTCGCTAGCATTAGAAACATCATCGCCTTTGAGTGAAAAACCCTTACTAGACAAATTTCTGCTGAGCTCTCTGTTCACATTAGAATAATTCCTTGTTCCAGTCCAAGAATCACTTGAAATAGAACCACTTCTAGGAGAAACAATTTCCATCCCCCTCCTTCCAAATGCGGCAGATCCTCTAGGTCTCATGTAATTTTCTGCAGGCATAGAAATGAAATTATGAACAAATATTAGAATAAAACGAAACAAAAAAATAGGTGAGTATACAAGTTCAAACTATATTAATACCACCTTGTCTTTTATTATCCATTTCTTCTTCATCTTCTTCAGACTCATAACTTGGATCCATGTTTGGATCCACATGTATTTCGGGAATTTCCTCCAATCTACGCTGACGTTCTTCAGGTGTTTTCAAAAGCTGCAATTTCTCTACACATTCTCTTAGCGTGAGAAGAAGTTAAGGATCAATACAAAATAGTACCGAGAGTTCTTGGTCAATTTCAAAGCATCACAAAAATTAGTAAGTTGAAAATAACATGAAAATGATATTATTGACAAGTAGAACCAAGTAAAACATAATCACAAAGGAAAAAAAAATTATAATGACAATTACCCATCTCAACCCAAACATCAGCAATATTACCAAAATAATTTTCTAGCTACTAAAGAATTTTGCCCCACCATCTATTTGACTGAATATGGTCATATGAAGCAGTTAACGATTTATAATTCATAGATGAATTTTGTTATGATTAGAAACTTTGTAAATGCAGAAAAAAAGTAATTTGAAGGCTTGTAAGGACTGCATTATTAGAAATTGACCCACTAAAAACACCTGACTAAAACTGAGTGTGCTTGTTAAGCGAACAACATATTAGGAAGTATATTTATAAGATATTCGAGTATGAAATATATGAAAAATTCCTCAGGCTTGACATGTTACAACAAACACGGGAATTTTAAATTTTTCAGATATCTCATTCTGAAATATATGATATAGGTTTCCAAAGGGCAAACTCCAGTGCACAAGGCTCCCTAATTCAGCATAGGGGTGAGGGTCAATTATACGTAGCATAGTCTTACCATTGCATTTTGCAAGACATTGTTTCCCAGACTCAAACTCGTGACTTTTCGGTCACAAAAGAGCCACCTTACCACTGTTCCAAGGCTTGCCCTCAATACAAGTTTCAGATGAAAAGATCCCATTTTAAGAATTATCAATTCCGAAACTACTAGGAGCTGTGGCAACTATAAATTGATAAAAAAGATCAACCAAAAACAATCTGCAGATTTCTATTTTCCACATGCCGATAATGTCATAGCTGAATGTTGTAAACAAGACCTATCATTAATGCTACAAGAAGTCAAATTACATCAAGGAAACGAAAAGCAATAAACACCAAAATATTGCCAGATATATTGCATTTTAAATTTTTCTGAAGAGAAAAGGATATTCTTTTCTGCGACCTTTCTCACTAGCTCTATCACGAAGATGACTCAGCCGCATTATCTCTGTTTCTAGCCACTGTAATAAATTAGATGACAAAGACCAGAAAATATATTTCAAATTTCACAGATAAAAAGTAGTCTAAATCAAGACAATAAATTATTAGGAAATGAAATGAGGATTTATTGAACACACACCAAGAAATTCAATTTAACAATTTAAACTAATTGGGACAATCAGTTAACTTCCAAAGTGAAGTAATCCTTGATTGGCTTCCAAAGCGGAAATGACAGTCTTAGTTGAAAGTGCTTATATCAAGAACAAGAATTATCAGAACTACATTACTAAGCCTCAACAGATTTAAACCTGAGATGACAAATTAGAAATTTTAACTACAGAAAGAATATCATGCCTCCTCTCCCAAATGTGATCACACGGTTACTGAAAGATGTAATCAGACAAAAGTTACGACAATTCTCCAGACTCTCGTTAAATAGGAATTGAATTCATCAATCTAACTTTCTATTAACATTTCAACTGAAGCCTTTAAATCAATAAAGATTCATTTGTAAATTGAAGGTAACTTCCTAACATATTTCACATTATTTCCTTCAATGCATCAATAAAATTGAAGTAACAATGACACACCATAAGAAAATAAGAATTTTTGAAAGATGCATACGCACAATCCCATGAGGAATAAGTAAAGGTATAGAAAAACAACTTACATCTTTCACTCTAACTGCCTGAAGCGCCAATGCTTTGTCCTGAATGTCACCCTACAAGACAAATTTATGTCCTCAGTACAAAGTATAACATCTGATGCGTGAAAGAATGATTTTATTGAACATAAAATTACCACAGTCAGCCGATTTATGAGACCACACTTTATGCTTTGGCGGAGACGCTTGCATTCATCCTAACAGAAAATTAATCAATATCTTATGCAAGGAAATAATAAATCTTAAGCGTAAGTTTAAATTATACAAATCATCAACTCTGAGAAAATATAAAATACAGAAATTATTTATTCTCAACATCATATGGTTAAGTGTAAACAACTAAATTGCTCCTCCAAAATTATCACCAAATTAGCACCTCAAAGGCTCAAAGATCTAAAACGTCATCACATTCATCCTTATGGAGGATTAAAGTGGTGATATTAGGACGAATTTGGTATCTTTGAGGGACAAATTTGTTGACAAAAATCGTTGGAGGACTAATGCGGTGACATGCAAACATTTGGAGGACTAATTTAAGTGTTTGCTCTATGGTTAAATAAGCGGCTCCCAAGCTGCCTTTAGATTCTACTTTTAGCAATAAGTATAGTTGATTATCAAATGGAATATCGCCCTAAATGCAATTAGGATGTACTGGAGGATGGTAGTGCACATTGATATTTTCATGTCAAGTTTTAAAGGGGGTAAATAATGCTTTCAAAAGGAATTACCGCAAAAGTCAACTGTCACTGAATAATAACAAAAGGGAGGGAGGTAAAAATGTAAAAAATGCTGTGTATTGAATCACCTCTGTGAACTCCTGATTTGAGATAATATCAATTGATACAATCTCTGTCTTGTTTAAATTTAAGATTTCTAGCAAGATATCTGCCATTCTTTTACCAACTTTATACGGCTCTGCTGCTTTGCATGTGCCTGACCATGAAGATAATTAAAAAGAAACCAAAGTGCAAAGTTTATTTTATATCGCAAATAATGATAGTTGAAAGGTATTGTTGTCCAAATATTTACCTACAACCTGAACCAGCCTATACAAGTCTTGCTTCTGTCCACTACCAGAAATTCTTATTCTCACAAAAGAACCAACAACTTTATCATGAAACTTTTCCATATCCTCAAGTATATCTTCCACCAAATTACGTCGTAGATAAATTAAATTAATATTGTGATTATCAATGGCTGCATAATCATCAACATTAGATTGAAGTCCTCTCTCATCACCCTTCTTACGAGTTTTACGTCTCCTATCTTTGCCAGCTTTTAGAAATGAATCGGCATTTCCATCACCTTCCAAATGACTCACTTCAGTATCAACAACACTACCCTGTAGGTCTTCAGCCTGAGAGTCATCTTTCAGAAGGAAATGGGATTCAAGAAGCTTTAACATTTCAAAATGTCCCACTCTTGGTTTACCAAACAAATTTTGGAGCCTTGCATCACAAATGATTTGACTTTTTCGGCGAGGATCTCGAAGTTTATTTCTTTTAATATACTCTAGCAAAAGAGCCTGCACATCAAACTGAGACAAAACAGATTTGTCTTCATTCCTCATGTGCATAACAAACTCTAAAAGCTCTTTTGAAGCCCACTCAAAGCTGCCATCTGCAGATGGCCCATCGGCACCAAGCACCGTCACTGCACTATATGAACTCCCTTCTTTGGAACGCATTTTTGCCCGTTTCTTGGCCTTTCTTCTTGTAGGACGACTCAAATCTACATTCTCATAGGATCTATCTGAATCTGATCCCCTATCATTATTGCCTTCAAAAAGTTCATCTGGTGATTCCTCTTTAGAAGGAAGCACATCAGATCCCTTCCAAGGGTTTTTAGCTTGAGTGAGTTCTTCAAATGTTAGAGATAGCTTTCCTTTAAGATCTATGTAGTAGTCCTTGAAGAGATACTCCCAGCTGTTTTTGTCATCAAAATCCACTTGTCCCTGCAACAAGCATGAAGAATAATTATTTGTAGTCAAAACTAGGTGCTCTCAATTAATGCCATTAAAAATTCAGATCTCTACATTTTATTATGGTTCTCTAATTCCACAACTACAATACCAAAATAGCCAGATTTTCAAGTCCGTCGTATATGAACTGTTAGAGAATAATATAAACCATTAAAAAGGCCCTCACTCAACACCTTAAGGTTTTGGGTTGAATTAGTTCTTTACATGGTATCAGAGCTTCAATGACCACAAGGTCACAAGTTCGATCCTCACCGCCCCCCACTTTCTAGTGGAATTAAATAAGCACAAGGTAAACCAAAAATTGGACCTGTGTAATATCTACGCTTCAAGTCCAAAGGGCTCTTGCGTGAAGGGGTGTGTTAGAGAATAATATAAACCATTAAAAGGCTCTCACCCAACACCTTAAGGTTTTGGGTTGAATTGGTTCTTTACATGAACCAACATATTCACTTGACAACATGCGCTGATATGCAAGCCCAGGCATTCTTAAAAATTCTAAAATGTAAACCAATATATATATATATATATATATATATATATATATATATAGAAAGAATAAGTTAGCAACAAGACAAGTGGATATCAAAAACCAATGAACCACTACCACCTTGAAACTAATGGAATCACTGAAAAAGGATGAACACTTAATCTTTCCAAAACGCACATACATTGCATTGTTTCAGAATAACATTTTTACAAGCATATGACAAGAAGAGAGGCAGGGAGGGAAGATATACCATGTTGTTTCCCTGCTCATTCTGTTCAATCAACATTACAGTTCTCATGCATGTCTCACAAAATCCCTTGTTTCCTCGAACACATAAGATAACAGCATCTTTGATGCATCCCTTGCACAAAGAGAACGTACATGTATAGCACATATAGTATGCATTCTTCTCACAGATGCTGCAAAGATGCCAACCTGGGATCATGAAGATCGATGATATGGAAAGTCAGATAGGATAAAGCAATGTCAAGTGTAAACATGATTAAGTTTTTGCAGATTTGATACCTTGGCATTCAAAATAAATTCAATTATGTTCAGAACACACACACAAAAATTAAAAAAATACTACCAAATAAACAAGACATAATAATAAAAAAGAAAGAGAAATTTAAAAGAGAGAATTGAGATAAAAAGCATGCAACCTTCATTGAAGCGTATTGATGCTAAACACATTTACATTTGACAAAAAAGTGTGTCGAAAATATGAAAAAGCATAGCTTTAACACAACGGTACTCTCCCTATCTTAAGCCCTTGCATCCAGAATATCAATTGCCTCCAATCAAACAATCATTCCCCAAAGATATGTCAGTACATCCCAAGTTGATGCCACTAAGTACAATACTGCAGACCATGAAACACAATTCCAAAATAAGAACAACTATCAGGCAGTTTAGGTAATTTTGATCCTACTGGTAACAAATTGTTCAATGGGTAACAATTTTTAAAAACATGGTTCACTAATCAAATTCAAGGAGAGATGCAGAGACAAGAGAAAGACGAGAGGGAGTCAGGTTAGGCTCATGAGAGTGGGGAGAAAGAGAGTGGGCTGAGGGTATTGTACTAAAACCCAGTTAAAAGACCAAAAGAAACTCACGAAAATAGCTGTTAGAAATTAAAAACGATGACAAACTTTGAATTTCGAATTGTTTCCCCATTGTGCTGCGATTTGGCCGTGACAAGTCACGATTTGCCACAACTCTTACCTGTTGCAGCGCGGCCAGTAGCGGTCACTGACCGCAACCCGCTATTGTAGCAGGATTGTGGCACAAATGTGGCACAATTGATAACCCTGGGTGGTGGACTCTCACAATCTGCTGCATCCACCCTGAGTTTGAGGGGGCCTATTAGTATATCAAAGTGAAAATGCTTAGGTCAAATCACTACTGTAGTTTCTATTGTAATAGGGATATTTTTGTAATTAGATCATAGCTTTATATAATATTGCAAGCTTCCTCCAATGTCATGCTGATGCAAGAACCTCAGTTTCTCAACAATATGCATATACTTGACTTCAGTCACTCTCTTCAAGCAATATCAACTTTTCGAATTATCCATCTTCAAACCTCTCAGAGAAATTTGGGAATCTTAAATATATTGAGGCATATTCACAACTTTCAAATCATAAGTATAACCCACATGTCACTATTAAATATTCAAACTTCCACTGTGAATTTTATCTTAACACCTAAAGAGTTTAAAGAATCATAAGACTACAGCACAGACATTGAAAAGTAAAAGTGAACATTGAACCAAACCCGAAAGAAAAAGTAACTAAACGATGATGATAAGAACCAAGACAGCACAGAATAAGGAAACATACCACAATTCCACCTTCCCTTGGCTCGAAAGAAGGCCTCATCACGATTGACGCATGAAGGATGGTAAGCCTTGGGGCATCCCCTAATAAACACCAAAGAAAAGCTATTGAGTTTTCCAAATAAACATAGTGGATAAAAATACCAAGCGAATTCGCAATAAAAAAAGAAAAGAAGTGCGAGCATAATAATCTCAGTCTCACCTGCGGTCACAAAGCACAAGGTCACCCCCGTCAAAGCAAATGAAACAAACGTCCTCCTCCATCTTTTTTTTGGATGGAACTCTCCCTGCAGACTTAGCATTCTTCCCAGCCCCACGCTTCCTCTTCCCACCACTGACACTCGTACTCTGCTCCTCCGTCACCTCTATCTCCTCGGCAGCCTCTGTATCTTCTTCTGCCATACCATCATCAGCATCAGCATCAACTTCTTGTCGCTGTTGTTGTTCTTCCTCTTCTTCTTCTTCTTCTTTCATCAAAGCAGCTTCATTTGTTTCTTCAGCATCCTCTTTATCATTTGCCAAACCACCAACAGCATCACCTTCACCTTCAGCTTCTTGTCGCTCTCGTTGTTGTTCTTGCTCTTGCTCTTCTTCTTCTTCTTCCATCAAAGCAGCTTCATTTGTCTCCTCAGCATCCTCTGTATCTTCTGCCATACTACCAACAGCATCAGCATCAGCTTCAGCTTCTGGTTGATGTTGTTTCTCCTCTTCCTCTTCTTCTTGTTGTTGTTCTTTTTTTCCTTCCGTCAAAGCAACTTCATTTGTCTCCCCATCGTCCTCGTTCTCCCCAATTGTCAAATTGGCTTCCTCTTCCACCTTCCCAGTCTCCAAAACCATGTCATCCACATCGGTTCCTTCATTCCCTTTCCCCTCCACAATTTCATCTTCCACACCAACCACACATGAGCCAGAGGCATTTCTCTTCTCCGAATCATCCATCCCTACGCTATCCCTATCCTCAACTATCTCATTACCCGCTACGTCCATCACTTGCACTTCGCTGCCCCCATCGGCCACCACCATCACCGTCTCCTTTATCTCATCGGTTGAAACCACCACCGCGTCGGCTTCACTCGACTTCCCCGTGATCACAACCTCGGCATCTCCGCCGTGAACAGGAGCCGGCGGCACGTCTCCTCCACCGGAGTTGGTAAAATTTTGCAGGCCGGTATCGCATTGTGACACGGTGGTTGAGAGGTCAACAGGTGCATCGGCATCAGCATCAGCATCAGGATCAGGGTGTGGTTGGAATGGAAGAGAAGGTTTAGTTTGTGGAGCTTCCTCATCCTCCGCATCCATATCTTAGAAGGGTGAATTAGAATCCCTAGCAATAGGTATTCAAACCTTCAATTTTGAAGCAATTAATTTCTGAAAACTAAAACGAAACAGAACGATTTTTGTGTGTTAATGGGATACAAAACAAGGCAATAGAACGGGCCTTGTAGTTGTAGAAAGGGATTCGTGTGTTCCGTTCGGCATCATCTGTGTCCCAAAGACCAAAATCTCCTTCATTATTACTCAGAATGACGATCTTGCCTCTTCAACATAGTGCCCTAGACCCTAGTCACAGCCCCATACAACTTTCAATTATATACAAATCCGTCTTCACCCCTGTAGTAGATTGGGCTGGGCTTTCTCTGTACGATGGCAACACAGAGCATTCAATGTTTTGCATCTATAATAATGACATTACAAAAATAATTGCTACCAAAATAATCAAATCAAATCTTTGATTTAATCCAATCTCGATCGAAATTATCAAATCAGAATATTAAAAACTAAACAAAGTCAACTAATTTCAGTTTTATTTGATTCTCTTTTATTTTTGGCAAAAATCGATTGGTATTATTTGATTTGCGAAAAAACTTAAATATTTATATATTTCCGCTTCAACTTACTTTTTTATTAAACTTTTCAAACTAGTTTATTATTTATATATATTAATGATATTTTTATTTGATTTTTTAAGAAAATTATATTTGAATTCATTTAAGAAAATTTTATTTATCAATTGAAATGAAACAAATCAATTTGGATATCCTGGTTTAACCAAACAAAACAAGAAGAAAAAGATAAAATCGATTTGATTTGGTTTTATTTTTTTTAATTAGAAGCAAACCGATTCATTCTTTCTTTTTATTTTAGTTGGTAATCGATTCATTCTTGATATATAGGAAAATCAATTAAATTTGTTAATGAATTTTTTCTCCATCAAATTTACCACAAACAATCATGTTTCTCACTCCCACAAGCCAATCGTTATGTACTAATATCTATCTCATTAATCATGACAAATGAATTAATTCGATTCAACCCATTGGTATAAAATATAAGGTAAAATTATTTCTGCAGCTGCTTTACGTACAACATCTGCACATTTAATGCTTTCAAGTTGATTGTTGCACGTACAGTATATGCATAAATGTAAACCCCAAAATACAAACAAGAAAATTTTGCAGTTGAATGCAGTTACCTTTAAACTTTAATAATTGTGCGGATCACCTCATTGCATGCAATTAAACTCCACATACTATATCTCCCAATAAATCATCATACAAGTTAACACGAATTTAATTTAAGCTGCCAGTCATATCTTAGGATTTATCGAGAAAAATAAAGTGTGTTTCTCAATTTATTTGTGTTTTTGGAATCACCACCGTGGACAAGCACATTAAAAGCTAAATCTTTGAAGCCTCAATTGGTCTTTTTCCTTGCTGGTAATACTGGAAATAGATCTTAGTATAGTTTTTGACGGGTCTGTATAATGTTGGCCTTGACTCATTCACTAGCTTGTCCACTGGTTTAATCTCTTTTTCTGAATCTGGAATGCAGAACATAGCTACTGTAAGCCTCTCCTTTTCTGCATTTATAACTGCTCTGTGTACTGGGCTCCGGAAAATTCCATTGCTCATTATCTGTTTATCACATTCAACAGATTCTATCAATCATATCAGTTATCATGAACAAGCTTAATTTTCTCTTTGCTGTTATGCCTGAATGAATGTATGAGCATTCAGTTATTAATTACCTCTAATTGATCACCAACATTAATCACGAGAGCATCAGGGATTACTGGAACTTTAAACCACTGATTATCTTTGAGGACTTGGAGGCCTTCTACTTCTTTATCTTGCAACAGAAATGTTATAATTGATCCATCAGCATGTGGCTTCAGACCAAGAACATGATCAGCCATAGGAGATGAAGGGTAGTAGTTGAATCTCATAAACATTGAAGGTTTCTCCCCACATTCGTTTAGGAAACAGTTCTCTTCCAAGTTCAGTGACTTTGCCATGGCCTTTAAAATTACTTCCTTTAGCAGCCTTAACCTTTCGGTATACTCTAGTACAGTACTCCTGCATTCAGACATCCACAGTGGTTCATGTGCAATTGATGGAGTGAATACTTGTGTCACAAACCCAAGAGAAATGTGGGGAAAATTTGCTTAGTCCTTGTCCAAAAATAATAATGCTATGCATTTGTCAAGATTAGAAATAGTTCATGCTTACTTTACTTAAATATCTAAAACAGCAGAATATATATACCTGTAATCATTTGGTTTTTCGGGCCAAACTTTTAACTTCCTCTGGTCTTCAGGATGCACCTTGATGTATACTCTGTCAGTCCAGTCCAGCCTTTGATTTTCTGAAAATATCATATCATTTCCATATCCTTCAATATCGTTTGGTTCCCTTGCATACTTTTGCTTTTCTTCCATCGGAAGTTCAAAGAATTGCTTTGAAACTTCTCTCAATTTGTTCAGAAATGAGCTTGTCACACCATGGTTTATTGCCTGAATCCCACAAAATAATTGCGAATGTAATTAGGGGCTCAATGCCTCTTGTTTTACATTAACATTTCTTAAATCTTATTCTCTGATTTGATCTTATTATAGGACAGATAGAGTATCCAAAGTAGAGATTGTGCTTCTCTATGATCATTTGATCATAATAGGAAAGATAAAGTATTCAAAGTAGAGATTACACTGTTCTCTAAAATTAAGTTCCACACCATTGACAGGTGATGCTTCAGTCCACTTGTTTGATGCCTGATGTATGCACAAGTAAAATCCCAATCAATTAAGGGAAATAAGAAAAAAAGTGATTATGATGAACAGAACCTTATGGGCTCTATTTCACCTCTAATATCTTCTCTGATGTTTTTCTAACTTTGATATATATATATACACACACACTGCCTCACGCATCTAGACTTTGGAGGCTTGGTTTACACTTTGGTAGCTTCTATAGGCAAATATATATGCAATGATTCCGGTGTCTAACTTTTATTTTATTTTTTTCAATTTGTTTCTGGTATGTTCTGAAGCCGTGAATCTATAAAATAAACGGGTTTATGATGGAAAAAAAAACTAAATAAAAGGGTCTAGTTCACATGTAATATCTTCTCTCATAGTTTTCTAACCTAGATTTAAATCCTAAGAGTAAGAATCATAAAGGCAGACCTGAAAGTAGCCCCATGAACTGAGTGCATAGCGGAGTTTTGCAAGTTCTTGTTGTGCTGTAGATGGAGAAGTGAGTTGGTCAAGGTCAACCACTGGAATATCCTCTGATGATAAAAGAGCATCTCGAAATCCAGCACCACCTTCATCGTAGATATAATTTTTTGGCAAGTTTTCAGAATTCAAGACCAGCTCTTGGACAGGTTTACCAACTATCACTGCCTCCTCCGAAGCTTGAGATCCTGCCATGTTAGTACTTGAAATTGCAGAACAGATGTACTTTACAAATAGAAAGGTCAAAAGTTGCCTTATAGGTTTTAGGGAAATGATAGTCTCGTCGCGTGCTGTATAAGATACCTATCTCATGTCATAGATTCATAAATTTTGTGTCTAATTTTTTCTTTTCTCTTTAAATTATGAATCTCATATATTTGTATCACTTTCGTAAAAGTACTATCTCATGTAGACTAGTAAATCCATTTTATTTGTGTTTCTTTTGTCACGACAGAATCACGGATGGGCCTCTGTGGGCTGAGAAATTATTGAATGGAATATACCCTGAGGGGCATTGCTGTCATAAATGTACATAGACACTTTTTAATTTTTTTGGTACAATAATAGACACTTTAAAAAAATAAAAAAAAAGAGACACGTCTACACGACCACATGAGAAGAACGTAGCCTATGCCACGAAGAAATTGATATTTGGACGGATTCTGTGTTTTGGTGTCTTCTCATAGAAAGGAGGCGGTTCCCATCCGTCGACCGTCTTGTATGAATGATGTGAGATTTGCCCAAAGCTTTTCAATTATTATTTATTTATTTATTTTATAAACAAATTTAGAAATATAAAATTAATCTTCCTCTTTGATCTTCTTAAAACCTTTCGTTTCCTAATTAAAAAGAAACAGAATCAAGGGTTCATTATTTTAAATGAAACAGAAATTATTAGAGAGCTATTGTATATAATCCCTTAAATTAATTGTCTGTTTTTAAAAAATGTATGACATAAGGATACTATTTAATTAATAAAATAGAATTTATCCATTTATTTTTTCTTCAAACTCCCCCCATTTAGACATTCCTTAAATGGAAGGAAGCCGAATAGGCTATGAGATACTAAAATCATAACTCTAATTATAAAATAGAAAATTTTAAAAGAAGTAGTTATAAAATTTAATCATGATACAAGAAAGATTCTTGTAATAAAATATTATATTATTAAACTGCACGTTATTATAAACTTATGCTCAAAAAAAAAAAAAATAGGCTTTTAGCTATTAATTTTTATTATTATTTAACTAGTCCAATTTAACTATTATTAGCATTAGTTATGTTACGCAACATTTTTTTACATATAAAATACTTTTAATATAGTTTTTATATTAACCATTAAAAAAAACTCCTTTAAGTCTTTAACTGAATCTCCTTGTCCGGTTAATGGATCGGCGATTGAACTGCTAACCTAATGTCATCCTCCCATTCGACTTATACAACAACTATAAACACTAAGGTCTTCGTGGTTTGTATTGAACCGATTTTAGAAGTAAAAATCATCTGATCCAATTCCTTCGATTTGATCATATAATCATCCATTCGATTTGAATTTTTTTCAAATCCAATCCAATCCAATTTTTTTCGGTTGGGATTGGATCGGTTTTTGATTTTTTGAAAATCCTAAAATTAGTTTCATGATTATTGTGCAAATAACATCTTTTGTATATATTGGCTTTGTAATTTGTTTTTTTTTAAATACAAAAGTATCATTAAACGATAATATAATTTATTTATTTTTTGGTAATGGGATATGAAGCTCTACACAGATGAAATTTTGTTGATGAGATGTGACTAAATTTTTTCTTAGGTTTAGTTAATGGGTTAATGGGTCTTGGATTTAGAAATTTTTGAGTTATGATTGAGGAAAGACCTAAGTAAGTAGAGAGTTTTTAATATATTGGATCGGTTTGGATTGGATCGATTTTTATCCATCAATCCGAAAACTGATCCAATCCAATTAAAATTTGTGGCTTTTTTTCGGTTTTCGATTTTTCAGTTTTTCGATTCGGTCACCGCAGTTTGAATCGGTTTGGATCGATTGATAAACACCACTAATAAACACCCATCAAAACCTCGGCTCGGCCACCGAGGTCGAGGGTTACAGATTTAATCGGGGGATTATAGGGTTACTTTATTGACACAATTTTGTACATTAAAAATATAAATATATATCCTATATGAAAATTTTAAAAAAATCAAACTACCAATCACCAAAGATTCAAAATAAACTTAACATTATTCAACCACTTACATCCACAACTCAATATTGCATAAGCTAATCAAACTATCAAAGTATAAAACATATATTCCAATGGAGTTAATGAAAAATTATATCATCAAACTCATACCCTCCTTATACTTCTCACGCACCTACAAGGCTACAACTGCATGTAAAAGGATATCTCTTACCCAAGAAAGAACGGCAGAGGAGAGGCGGTGGTGCGATGAATCAACTATAGGAAGAGAAGAATCAAAATAGCATAGAAGAGGGAGAGAGAACACCGAAGAAGATAGGAGGAACCATCACCACAGCAGAGGAGATCACTGGATAGGGAGACTATGTAGGGCTGGGAGGGAAGAAGAAGAACGGTTCATATTTCACATCTAGCTCTAGATGCAGTGACCCCATCTGACCCGAGAGTCACGGGTTCAACCAGAGGATTTCGGGGGTCGGAGAGGTTAACGTGCATGTAGGGTATAACTGTTGATCCCAACCCTCAGAGATAGGGGATTAGCAATCCGACAGGATTGATCCAGGAGTGGGGCGAGGTTTTAAAACACTAACCGTAAGTCTATGACCATGTTTGAAATATTAATGATCGGGGACTTTGGCATATATAAAAAATTGTGCCAACCCTTTCTTTTTTTTAAACGGTGGACTCCACTAGAGGTGGCAAAACGGGTCGACCCGCCATCAACCCACCAAAAGTGGGTTGGCCCGCCCTGCCCCGCCACTTGAATATGGGTTGAAAATCCTAACCCGCCCCGTTTTATGATGGGTTGGCGGGTCAACCCGCCTAAAAAATAAAAAATAATTAAAAATAAAAAATAAATTGTATTTTATTAATATTACAATATTATTATTTTTTTATTACATTCCCCTTAATTTTTTTCCAATTTTAAATCTAAATGTAGGTTAATATTCAGTCATACATTTTTTACAAACTTGTTTTTATCTCCATATATAGATTACCTTTCTCATAAATAAAGTTTTTCTTATTTATTTTTTCCATTATACATAACTCCTTAGTGAAACTTGAAATCTATTACCTTTCAAATGGAACAGATGATTCTATTAGTATTATCTTCACTGGATGGCAGGTTTTTTCTTTTTCTTTCTTATTCTCTAATTTCCCATTTTATCTTTTATTAACTACAAATATTTCGAAGTTTTCATATTTTAATTAATTTTTCGTGAAATAGACACACATTAGCAACGAGTTGAAGGAGTTAACTAGAAAGCAACACAGATTCTATTGATCGAAACAAAAATAATAATAGAGTTCCCTTTGTATATAATAGAGTGCCCTTCCCTGCAAGATCAATGACACAACCAGTATTCAATAAAACATTCTCTCCCAAAACAAAAAGCATTAACTTAAAGAAAAACTGTTGAACTGCACAAAGTTTATCGTGAAAAGTCTTTAAGTACAAGCCTTTAGTTACTATAGTTGTATAGCTTTAGTAATAATAGAATTTTTAAACCTTGTCCATTGTCCAGTTTTTATCCCATTTTTCTACTTTATTTTTTTAAAATAACAAAAAATTGGATATCACAAAAGCTTAAATACAAATAAACTACTACCTAATAGTAAAAAAAAAAAAATCACAACCCGACGGGCCAACCCGCCGCCAACCCGTTTTGACCCAAAACCTAACGGGGCGGGTTGAGGTGGGTTGGTGGGTTAAAATGTGTAACCCAACCCGCCCAGTTTTGACCGTTGACCCGTCAGGTTCAACCCATATTGCCACCTCTAGACTCCACGTTTATTTATTGTTTTAAAAGTATTGCCCTTAATGATATGGTTGAACACATTAATAAAGTGGTTAAATGTGTGTTCTTTTAAAGGACATAAGTTGTGTTCTTTTAATTTTTAATATTATATATTATGGGTAGTACATAATTATAATAATAAAGTTGTATTTTTTCATTTTTCATGTTGGAAAATATATCCTTAGGATATCTTTATTATTTGTAAAGATCTATTTCCTTATTTCATTAGGATTTAGGTTAGGTATGGGCTAAGCCCATTAGTGTTTCTTTATATATTGTACTCTCATGAATTAATTCAATATATAGATTTATTTCAATATTCCTCTCGTCTCTTGTTATTTTACATGGTATCTAAAGTCTAACGAGAGGAATCCTTGTCCGCCTTTGCTTACTCTTTTTCATAATTTTAATATGGTAGTAGAAAGATATCACCCACCATGAGAGGTTGACTTTCCCAACTTTTCCCTTTCTCTTTTTCTTTTCGTTTCTCTTAGTTTATTCTTCTTGTTCCTGCCTTCATTGCTACAAGTGTTGTGCTCCATCACCGTCGACGACCAAGCCACCATCCAGCCCTCTGCCCGCATTCATTGCCACCAGCATCGTTGTTGTCGTCAACAACCACCATGCCAGTTGTAACACCCCATATATATCCGGTATGTTATCATATCATCGTATTAAGCTGCGCTTAATTAAAAATGCGGAATATCTTTTTTCTTTTCAATTATGATGTCATTAATCATTACCAACTTGCTTACTTAATCATTTAATAAAATATTGACTGTATGTAAATTGCAAAGGACATCTAACTGAAATATCTCATTAAATTAACAACATAAATATGTCTATTCACGGAACTACAACACGTAGACCAGACAACCCTGATAGTTTATACAACTCAGTTAAACTTAAACATAACAGAAATCAAAGTGGCATGAAAAAACCCCATGCTCACCCAAATAAGGCACAAGCCCAACAACAGTCTCAAGAGCAGCAACATAATAAAAGCAAGCTAAAACATAACATTAGCAGATATATCCAGCATCTAACCACGTCAGCATATAAACAGTAATATCATCAACTAAGCTCCGGCCTCCTGCCGCCAGAGGCATCAGCCCCCAAGTTACCTGAACCTGAAATAAGCGTCCCCAAACGTGGGGTGAGATCTCTAAACAAGAAATCTCAGTAAGACAAGGGGTTCTCACGGATCTTC